AGAAGCAAAAATACTGTTCAAAAACAATGTCCAGGTTTCAAGAAAGGCGGACATGGAGACTACTGGGGTAACAATTTCTGGTAGAGATGAAGTTCCGTGTGATTTCGGGAAAAAGACAGCCGACGAGCGCATGTGACGTTGAGCTCGTCTATATAGTTTGAAAAGAACAGCTGTACCCACTTGAAAGATCATTTTCCAGAAATCTTCAATGGTGTTGCCTTTCGGACCTTGTGTTAAGATGAACTCCCTTTCTGACTGAAACTAGCCAATTTCTATGGTTTTTACCTACTTGCACGATTCAAATACGTTGATCCCACCTTTTCAAATTTCACCCTATTTGCGTGTATGTAATCGTAATCTGTCTCATCGATCGGCTGTAAAATGACTCGGGTTTCGTCGAGGCATGGGATTTCCTTAAGTAGATAAAATTGAGAGAATAAGCTTTCCGCTTTGCATTCACTCTCTATAGGACAGTTGGAGGCATACTTATAGCAAAGTCACTGCGCGACATCGCGCACAATGGTCGTGCTGCTTGCGGGGCGATCGGTTCGAGCGGCTTCGAAAAACCGCTTATGTCTCCTCCGCTCTCACCCAGGTACCTTCCTTCGCGCCGCATATGAGTCTCCATCGTTCTTTCGCCCGAGCATCCCTTAAATTAACAGGCACCCCACCGAGCGAATGCCTTGAACAAAGGCTACACGCAGAACTTCCACAGGATCGAACGCAAAAATGCTAGCCAATAATTTGATCCCGCCAGTCAATCTGTAAAATTAGATAAGTATATGTGGTGAAAAGAGCTGACAATAGTTTGAAACCCAGTCCCAGCGCATTATTAAAGACAGAATTCACGATGAAAAGGCAACCCATTTCAAATTAACCTAGGGATGGTGAGTGGTACACGAAAGAAGGAAAACCATGAGAAACGGCCCAGAACCCGAGAAATGGGACCCCTTCCTTGCCCGTTGATTTGCGCATTGATGCGACTCTCATCGCTGTGCCCTCTTCAACACTACGCTCTCTCTGCTATCTAATCACTCGCCACGTATAGACCTGCGGCGAGTGATTAGATAGTCGGTGGGCGTACCCCGCCAACCGCGCCAAGAGTGAGCCATGCTAGATCGCCGAGGTCAAATCTTTCGCTGCCAATTGCGCGTCGGTCAGCACCCTCAGGAGGTCCGCCTGTCTCCCAACTATGCAATTTTCCCTTCTTTGACCTTCGTTCTTATCGTGAATTCCTCCTTTGAGTCGGCAAAAAGTATTCGAGCGCCTTCAACATTTTGCCTCTATCAGAAGGCTACTCACCGTTGACTACTTGATTCCTTTTTCCTTACGCACACGGGAGCAGGTAGAATGATGTCGTCAAAACCTACCGGATATCGATTGAGCTGTGGAAACTCCTCAAACTTGGTGTATGTGCCTGGTTTTGGCTTGGAATCGAGCACAACTCGGCATTCCTTACGGAGACCATCGACGCCAGCTAAACATACGTATTCGAAGTTATGTCGTGTTTGAAAAGTGCTTAGAACGTCAATACAGTAACGTCAGACTGAAGAGCCTTGGTAAATTTCGATAAATTCACTAACCCGTTTCCGTTGTGTATTTCACGAAATCCGAGACAGCTTTCTCGACTTCGGGCGCAACAGCCTTAGGTGGTTTGGGCTGAACAAAGAAAGGTGACTG